AAGATCTTATTCTTCCCCTTTGGGTCTTCTTAAGTCTACATTGAGTGTGCTCAGAACTCCAAAAATGGTATTACTGAAAACCATGTTTTATCTGATTACTTCTATTCGTCCTCTTTTTATCCAAGTCAGAAATGTCATCAGTTTCATGTTGATAATATTTTCTTGATTCCTTATGGAGTGCTTTTTATCATTGCTGCAATGACCATGCTTTTCTCATTTCTACCCTAATGGCCATTAATATTTTCTTAACTTGGTGATTTTTTTCATAGTTTTGTCTTATAGTTCCATGAAACCTTCCCTGGTCTAGATTCCACAGATCCATCTTTATTGATTCTTCTCCAAGAGCATGCTTGACATCTTTCATGGAAGTTTTTGCTTCTCTCCCTAATGAATGTGGGAACTTTCTAGGATTTGAACCCCTTTCTCTGCTGTGTTAGACAGTTACTTAGTTATTAACAAGTGCCTTGCAGAGAGGAGACATCCAGTAGATAGCTTTTATCAATTGGTTTCTTATTAATTTAATACATTAAGATCTTCCTTGCCCTTTTTTTAATGTCCTTTAATAGTAAATAAACATACAGTCTAAAAATCACTGAACAATAGTTCCTAATCTCTTTTGGGTCATAGTGCCCTTTGAGAATCTGCCAAAAGCTATGAACTCTCTGAGAAAAAGCCCATTCGTACATAGGCGTAAAATTTGCCTGAATATAAGTTAAGTTTATGTGCCTACTCAAGTTCATCTATAGACTGCCTATATATTAAGACTCTTTACAATATGACAGCTTTCAGCATGTTTGAGAACAGCCCTTATACATGCAGTTTTTGTTATTAACATCTAACTTTTAACAACATTAATAAGCCACCGACTAGCCCAGGTTATTATAGTCTTCTGCTTGCAATAACGGGAAAATCCAAGTACTCTTCTAATGTGGCAAGAAATTAGAATGACTTTTGTTAATGTTAGCTTCTCCATTTTCACACACGATTTTTTCAAAACCACCCTCGTAACTAATGCATATCTTTCCTTGACAAACATTTGCATCTGCTCTGCCTTTTTTCATCTCAGCCCAGTGGTTAAAGGACAAATAACATTTTATTGACTGTAAAATACCATTAATTGTAAGATGCATCTTGATTTTGATGATACAAAGAGTCATTTGCTAATATCTCTTCCTCAATTATTCAACAAATATTTTTGACAGAATACCATGTGCTAGATCTCATACTAAGTCCTAGAATTACAAACAGAAATAAGTAATGCTGGGGCCGGCCCCGTGGCTTAGCGGTTGAGTGTGCACGCTCCGCTGCTGGCGGCCCGGGTTCGGTCCCGGGTGCGCACCGACGCACCCCTCCTCCGGCCGTGCTGAGGCCACGTCCCACATACAGCAACTAGAAGGATGTGCAACTATGACATACAACTATCTACTGGGGCTTTGGGGAAGAAAAAAAAGAGGAGGATTGGCAATAGATGTTAGCTCAGAGCCGGTCTTCCTCAGCAAAAAGAGGAGGATTAGCATGAATGTTAGCTCAGGGCTGATCTCCCTCACCAAAAAAAAAAAAAGAAATAAGTAATGCTTATGAAAGGAAGATTTAGATAGTAAATCTTTGCTATACTCCCTTTGAAATAATTTGAAGAGAATTCAGAGAAATAAATAACATCTTGTCTTTTTCCTAAAACTTTATAGGATCCTCGTATATTTAGGAGTTGATTCCCCAATCTCTACCCTCAGTTCCTGAAATAATGTCACTCAAATAACTTAGATTTCTCTTTGCCTCTGAGTATCGTCATTGAGTTTTGCTACTCCTGCTTGCCCCTTGTGGTATATATTCATTTTCTTTCTTTGCCTTTGGGATATTTTTTTTTAAAAAAACATGTTTGTTTCTCATCATAGGCAATTTGAAGCAGCTCTTTTTTTTTTCCTCCAGTTTGTCTGGATTAACGCTGGTGTTATGGCTTTTTTTGGTGTAGTAAGACTTGCCTCAGTTAAGCCTCGATAAGTTTAATATATTTTAGGGGGAAATTATCTATTTTTAAAAATCAAGAAAGAACTGGATTCACTTGGCATTACCTATACTTATACCTCTTTTTTCCCCCAAATTTTTAAAATTTTATTTTAAAGCAATCACAGACCTGCAAAGTAGTTGTTAAGTGTGGAACAGAGATATTTGCTTGCTGAACCATTTGAGAGTAAGTTGCCAATCTAATGCCCCATTACTTCCAAATACTTCAGTGTATTGATCTTGATACTTTTGAATATTACAGACCAATTATTTTGTAGAATGTCCCTCAGTTTGGATTTGCCTGTTGTTTTCTCATGATTAGATTCAGGTTATGCATCTTGGCAGGAATATCACAGAGGGATGCTGTGTTTTCTCATTGCATCCTATCAGGTGGCATGTGATTTTGATTTGTCCCATTATCAATGGTGTTCACCTTCCTCACCTGGTTAAGTTGCTGTCTGTCAGGTTTCTGTACTATAAAATTACTCTTTTTTCTCTT